TATTTATGGAGGTCTTGAGGCAGAGTTAAATGTTGCATTTAGAGATCTGACTGTATACAGTATAAGTGCTCCGATGACCAAATATATATGTTGTAAGTGGAAACAGAATTTAAGTGGATTCAGAATTCTTTAGAATTTATTATATGTAACTCTATATCCTAACCATATTTTTAATTAAGAAATTCCGAATCACTTAAATCCCGTTTTCACTTGCAACAGGAATGCAAATATCGCATAATTTATATTGCATACGATAATTCATGTCAGATTCAAATAAAATCAGAAGGTATGCTAACTTTTATTGTATCAATCTGACATTTGATTTAAATGTTCTAATACATAACCGATATCCTTAAAGAGGTTGAACATATTCTTAAGTACAGAGTCAGAGAGATAATAAATTTAAATTGAACTGTTTTTTTTAGTTTAAAAAGGTCTTTAAGGTCCTGGATTGAGCAGACCTATTAACCTTGAGCAATATTTATCAAACCAAAAATATGCATTCATGGAAGTGATATTTATACAATGTGAATAATTATTTTTTCTTTTTTAATTATATTCCCAATTCATAATCTGAATAAGACTAAGAAAAATATACTGAATTAATACATCAAAATTAAGAATCCAAATGTCAACTCAGATCCTAGCATTAACATAATATTTAATAATTATAACTAAGCAAAAATTAACTTTCATCCACTAGTTGCACCTATTCCACTTGCTCTTCAATTTCTGTTTCGATAACTTTGGTTTCAACGATTTCGGTTTCAACTATTTCGGTTTCAATAATTTCGGTTTCAACGACTTCAGTTTCGACTTCAGTTTCAACTTCAGTAATATTGCCCAATTGCCCTTCATGCTCTACATGTTTCCCGTCTTGAACTATAACATGACTTACATGACTTACATGACTTACATGGCTTACATGGCTTACATGACTTACTACTGTTGTTGTTGACATAGTTGACATAAAGCTTGTTCTTCGTTGCCTTTCACTAAGAACAAGCAACGCATCAGGATATGTACTTTGATCGATGTCTACACGTTTTCCATCGTCATCCACATAGTCGATCATTTCTTGATCAATATAAATAGTTTTTCGTTCAGTGCTTATATTACTATGCCTATCAAACTCAATAGGATCTAACTCGTTATTATCCTGATCCACATGAATATTCGTTATGCCATGACTTGAAGAAATATTACTATCACTTTGTTTGCTTTCTCGATTTATTATTATTTGTGGTGATTTTGATGTAGTTTCTTTTATAATAGGGGAAGATATCGTCATATTACCAGATGGTTTTACATTATTGATTGTTTGGTAACTATCAGGCGGTGCACCGATAAATGAACTTGAAGAACTATTACTATCATTTTGATTTATTGTTGTTTGTGGTGGTTCTGATGTAATTTCTTCTTCAATAGGATTTAAAGGAGGGTTATTTGGTGTGGATATCGTCATAGTCTCAGATGGTTTTACATTAGTGATTGTTTGATAACTATCAGGCGGCGCACCAACTAACGTATTAGACGATGACGTAGAATACAATGACGAAATAAATGAAACGGGATGTGCTCTTCTTCGTGGTTTCTCATCATTAATAGGACCACCACCGATATAAGTGAATCTACTACTGGGTGGTTTGGTTTCGGGGACAGTGGTTTCTGGTACAGGGTCAGCATAATCGTCCACATTTAAAATGAATAATTTTATGAAATTTTCCACAACATCTAGTCGTTCTGGGATCGTTTTGTGAATTCTGCTTTGAGAGATTAATGGAATGTCATCTGGAGCAAAACGACGATATAATTTTTCTTTTGAACGACGCCTACAACAAGTTCGTTGACAGATTCCCCAGGGAGTTACCGCAGAAAAACCTTTTTTGTAAAAGTTGATAATTATTAAGTTTGTTTTGAATTATAAATTGAATTAATACGTAATGTAAATTTGTATATTTTACCAAAGAGACAGACATATATTCCCATTAATAATCCATAAAATGCAGCAAATAATGCAAGAGCTTTCAAAATCTAAATATTTAAATGATTATTATTAGTATATTTATTCTTATATTTACTCTATACAATAATAAGGTTTAAAACTTACATTAATAGATCTAATACGATTATCAGAAAAAAAATAACGTAAATCGATTTTCATGATAACAAAACCATCCTAAGAATTATGAATAATATTGTACCTGCTCTCAGTCTGAATCTCTTCCATCCAGTTATTATTCGCAATGATAAAAACTCCAGAAAAATTACCAAGGTTCAATAAATCCGATGATGAGATATTATCAAATTGATAAGATGGGATTTTCATCGATTCTATTATATTTAATAAAGAAATAAATATAAATATATAGATATGTGTGTGTATGTGAAATAGAGGTAAGAAAATGGAAATTACTGTACTAACCGAAGGTAGAATCAATAAAAGGAGCCTTAAAATAAGTTGGTGGAATTCCAATGACATTCAGAAAACTAGGCATTTGGTAGTATCTTTGATTTCTGGTGATATACATTTGATCAACCTTTTTTTTTTGTTGAGTTGAAGAATATGAATTATAAAAATAAGTAAATTTCTTTTTTCCGGCTTTTTTTTTTTTAGTTACCTGTTGATAGGCCAAAACTTGTAGATTTAAATTATATAACCTTTTATAATAGGTTGGGTCAATCCGTTGCATAAGAAGTTTTAAGTGATCATTAATTCTCATTGGATTAAAGGCTAAATGTAAGAAAAAAAAAAAATTAAGGTTGAAAAAGCTTTCTTGAAATAAGTAATTAATATTTCCACAAAATTCACTTACTGGATTCAAAAACCCTGACTTTCATTCCAGTATCAGAGCTAGCATTATACCCCGTATCATTTTGCATGTAAATTTTGAAAAGGATTGCATAAAGTTTGTTTTGACTTGGTACGATCGTATAATTTAACATATTTTGAGGAGCTGATAGCCAATTTCGACTATCGAATTGACCGATACAACGGCCATCAAATCGATTATCATCTGTTTCTGTAGAGCATTGCGTTGCATTTATGTAATAATTTGTACATGAATTTGTATCACTATCATTGCTTAATCGATCTTTGAAAAAAGAGTGTTTATATAACGATAAAATCAGCATTTATAATCGCATTTACGAATGTATGCTTAAGATAAATTATCATTGACATAAAATTTATATTTACCAAGATACTGAAATTGACATGTCAGTGAGAAATTCTTAGCAGAAGTAAAGGTCATATCTTTTTTTTTTTTTTTAAAAAAAAAAAATAGCAATTAAAAACAATTTAAAACAGATAACGAAGAATTAAAATTGAAGTTTACCTGGAACAGGAATATAAGGCTTGGGCACCAAAACCGTCATCAAATGAGGTTTATCGGTGGCGATAAAGTATACCAAGAATGCAAAATACACTAAAAGGATTATTATACTGATTATTAAACATGTTCCTCTCAGGCATACAAGTATAAAAGGCTCTGTTTTGGAATATTTTTGAAATATATCTTTCGACTCGTAGAAAACTTTTGTCATTTTCGTTTATATATAATAAATAAACAATATAAAAATAATTTTAAGATTAAAAGGCTAAACCTCCATTCTTGACCAGACGAAAAGAAAGAAGAGCGAAAGAATTGTTTAAATTTCAAGTAAAGTCAGAGAATAGGGTGAAAAATGAATATTACGACTGGTCATTATAAAAATTTACTGTTGCGTGTACATGTACAATCAATTATCCTCAAAAAGGTAATAAAAATACATTTTCCAAAAAAGGTATAAATAATATTAGAATTATAAAAAAAAAACATGCCAGATTCATACATAATGCATGTTAATATATGCATTATGCTAATTCTAAACTATAGTTAGCTAGATTGTAGATAATTTAGAACGGCTATATATTTTCATAATTCCTGGAACACCGGATAAAAATTGGCCGAATGATTTTTCAGCCGATTCGATTAAGTTTGTAATTTCGGCATGATCCGTATAATAAAAACTATTTTGTATCATAATGACTGTTTTACGGATCGTAACAAGAATCGGCTGAAAAATCATTCGGCCAATTTCCAGGAATTATGAAAAATAGTAATTTTTTCTTTGCTTACGTAATAACATCTGCGCATCCGGATAATTATTCATCACTGGTTACTGTCGGATCTTTAAAAAACGAATCAACTTGTCGGATCTTATCATAGGAAGACTTTCGTGTAATTGGCTGATGTAAATATTTAGAAGTGAAGATTTCGGTTTGTAAATTCATTTGATTTAATTGGCCAATAATCATTTGATAACCATAAATCAGCCAATCATCTAATTACGAGCAGATCCGTTGTTACTGTAGTGATTAAAAGACTCGGGGTCTAATACAAATACCCAACAAAAAACTTACAAGAGACCCGGGTATATTATACAGCAGTGGGTCTGTGTCGCAAGAAAGAGAAATTTCGTTTATATACATACTCAGCATTTATGATAAGCAGTCTAGAAATTTAGAAAAAATTCATGTTTAATTAAGAGACGGTATATTCGTAACTGTGCTGTGCGCATGATCATAGTTACCTCTCGCATAGCTTATGAATATCATTGTATAATACAATTAACCACCGTCAGTATCAACCTATTTGATATCTGTGAGGGTCGATTCAATTTTTTATTAACGAAGTTGATATTAGTGACTACAATGTCCCCGGAATAATCATTAAGCGTATGATTGACAAATCCGTGTTAGTCTTGTTTTAGTAAACGTAGACGCCCACTGTATATTTCTTAATTTCTTAATTAGGTGACGGTTAAAGGATGTCGCGAGGTTGTTGTAATCTACACATGCTAACGCTAAATATTGTTTGTTACTACATAGATGGCGCGAAATCCAAAAAAGGAAATTACAACAATATCACTTGATTATTAATTATTATTCTAATTTCCTTTTTGAGTTTCACTCATTTATATTTTATTAATAATTGTCTACTATATATGAGTGCTGCCAAGACAAGTCGTACTTTTTGTATATTTACTTTTAATAAAACCATCTTGAAATCAGGAAATTTAATACCTATAATTTTAATATCATTTGAATCATCTTAATGAAATAATATTAAGAATAGTAGGTACTAAATTGTCTGACTTTAATTAAAAGTTAATATTCAAAAAGTACGACTTGTAGGTTTTCTCTTGGCGGCACTCATATACTGTATTTTACACTCATATTGGTGCACACACATCCATCTCACATTTTACCTTTGCTTACCATATTGAGCTAGCTTGGCACCCGTTACTCCCGAACTGGTGGTAACACCGTATAGCACAGTAATTTTTAAAATCCGTATGGGCGAAAGTTTACAGTCGGAACATTGTGATTGTTAAATAAATGTGATGGTCAAAATTACTATAGAGTAACCAGTGTTGACATTTGAACTATGTCCATATTTTTGAAAAAATTTGGACATAGTCCAAATGTATATGTCCAATTGAAAAATGACTATGTCTATATTTTGTCCATATTATTTTAATTAGTCCAAATGCCAACACTGAGAGTAACTGTATAAAAACTGATAAGAACTCGTAAAGGATCTCTTGCAGTATAGGTGATACCTATTCTAAATCAGTTGATTAATAATACAATTTGTTAACGGTATCACTTATACTGCAAGAGATACCTCGTAAATTATCTAAGGACGCATAATAAAAGACTGATAAGTAACATAAGAAATTTTACGATGATTGATTAAAATATCACTCCAAACCTTGCATATGATTGGTTCAAAAAACTTTTATGCATAATAAAAATTATGAAAACTGGAAATTTTCGCCCATACGTATACCATGCAGATCCGGTGTTATATATTACACATTAGGTTAGGAATTACAGCTGATTAATATAATGTATGTGGTTTTTAAATTCGGCTTGTAATACGGGTATACTGGATTAGAAATTAGAACTGTATATTAGGTTTATTGGCTTTATTGGATTTTTTATTGGTAACTATTGGGTTCTTTATTGGTATTGGCTTTTCAATTAGCCCTATTGGTAATTTTCTCAATAGAGCATATCTATTGCCAACCTGCCTACATCATACTGATTTGCTATAATCTCACCAATTATATAGTTTAAAAATTTTCAAGTTATAATTAAATATTATATATATATAAATGTTTTACATAAAGTACCGGATTTACAAAAGTTTGACCAACATTATTGCATCATTTGATTTGAATGTACAATCCGAATTGTAACTCATAAATCACCGAAATTTGATCTCAGAAACTAAATGTCGTGTGTTCAAAATTACGATTACATGAAAAATTGATTTACAGAATCTTACACAAAATTACGTAAAATTACGCAAAATCTACCTGTGATTATTAGCTAATTAAATTCATAGCTTTATTACAATATTGAATTACAGTTGGATAATGAAACGCTACATAGATATTTTCTGTGCTTAACACTGATATTAATGTGGCGATGCTTTTACATAAAACACGATAATATTTTTATCGCAATGCATTATAAAAATTGCCTGTGATTTCCTAAGTAAACCACAATTCCAATCCTATATATACTAATTGCCATTTGATCGAAATTGGTTTACTTTTCTTCTTTTGGTTTCGGATTCACTATCAGCTATTTTATCCAACAACAACCCAGCAATTATACTTAAAACCTTTTTCGTATTTTTGTACAAATTTTTATATTCATCCGATTCTTTATCACAAGTTTGTTCGCGATATTCAATAGTAAAAGGGGCTGTTTTGCTTAGCGAGATCTCTCCTGGATTATGAAGTAAAAAATACCAATCTCGGGCTACAATAAATGTAAACATGATTTTAATAAATTTCATCCTTTCTTTTTATTATAAGAGATAGAATAAAATTGCGTACCGGAAGTAATGATACCATAAAGATAATCAAACTCTCCATTTTCACCCCGTTTTCGTTTTTTTTTATTAACATCATGTGAGCTTTCGAGCTGTCTGATATTCTGAGCAATACTTTCTTGAATTGATCTATCTATCTTATCTTCTGTAATACATATGAGATTTTCGGATTTAGATTCCATTATGGCATAATCAGTCGATCCATAATATTTTTTACCATTGACTTCATATTCAACATCCATTTTAAACTTTTTATCTGAACCAGCTTCGGCGATTCGGAGAGCTGTGTGAAGGATAGTTGATACATACTCTCTTCGCATCTTTTCATTGGAATTTACGCATAATTCCCCGTAGCTTTTAATTCTGATTAAAATATTACTGATACAGTTTTGAAAATACTCATAATCATCTCGAAAGTCGTGAATTTGTGGTTCAAATCGCGGAATCTTTGAAATATTATCAGAGTCAATGTTATAGTCTTTTAAAACATCTTTCAAAGATCTAATTGATGAATATTCCTGCCTTTCCTGTTTTTCACTGCACGTCTCAGCAAATTCGGCAAGTCGTCTTGAAGGTCCACGCCTAAAACCAACATCGTGAAGTTCTTCTCTAGTTATTTTTAAGAAATCTTCACCAGTGTATTGCTCCTGACTAAGAATACTAAGGTGACCCTCATCAAGCTTTAAGGTTTTCACGGACTGCAAATACGCAACAAGTTGTTCTGTGTCATATTCTTTAATCTCATCAACCTCAATAGTTGGGTCCATGACTGCAGATTGGAAGATTTTAGGATGTTTTATGATCGATCAGTTAATCTTACCATTTTTTGGATATAATCCAAACCATTTAAGGACTAGTATAATTCCCTTGATTTCTAGATAACCGATGTAGTGAAGAAAAATGTTCATTATAAGAACGCCTGCGATTGGAAGTAACTAAGGTAACGTTAGAGCAAGAAGAAAGCTTTGAGATTATTTTTATTATAACAACATTATTCAACATACCACAACTCCAGCAATAAAGATAATTGGAGCACAGAAAAAGGCAGATATCATATATACAAAATAACGAATTCGAGATATTTTGATAAGAGTGGATGCTACAATCACAAACCAAATTTCTGTTATATAATTTAGCAAAAACAATCACCTGATCAAAAGAGTAAATCAAATTATTTGGAGCAAAGATTATGGGTGTTCTCAAGCAGCACGCTCGATATGATTTACTAGTGATTGAGATAGTGCTCAACCATTATGGCGTTATAAATTAGATCATTTTTGATGTTAAAGTGCTGTTACGGGGTGAATTGTATCCTTTGATATGTATAAATACGAAATTGTATAATTTAGGTGATAAGGCAACTCGCCAGAGGCGTGACGATGGTGATTTAGCAATTTGTTTAGTTTGTTAAACGATTTTATCAATGTGGTTTATTAAATGTATTAGGTTACAATATTAGAATCCCGTAGGACCTAAAGTTACAAGAGAGAAATTACAGGGTTTTTATAACTTTCACTATTTTAACAATCTCAAGAGGCTTGGGGATAAATCAGATCTTTCATCACGAAAGATCAAGGAAGAATCACTATAACTAAGGGGCTTACAACGATAAGTACAACATGATTATAATAATGAAGGCTTTGCCTTTACAACATTTTATATTATTACTACTTCTAATTAATTCTTGTTTCTTGTTTTCTTCTCTTTAGATCTTCATTTGTTCTTCTAGGAATTCTTCTTCGGATTTCACGTTGGTTATCATTTCCGATATTTGGTCAGTAAGCCTCATGTACTAGTCGATCTGGAATTCCAATGATCAATCTACCTTTTAGCCCGTGATACTACGCAATATATATATACAGTATATATATATAGTATTATACAATGTTGGCACTGGAATTCCAGACTCTTCCAGCCTTCCAGTAGTTCCAGTGAAAATTCTCACTGGAAGAATTTTACCACTGGAACGTATATAATATTACCCAATAAAAATGTGCAAATAGCAAGCCGCATTAACCAATAAAAATGTGCATTATATATTTCTTATAGCTATCCTCCAAACTTATTATCAACAATTTATTTTTATTAAAAGAAGTAATTTAAACCTAAACATGATAAGCTAATAGCTTGTAAGAGTATATTTTTGAAATCTTAAACACCTTGATCGTTATTTTTACTGCTGCAAATATATAAAAGTGAAAGCATTAAATATGGAACTCCAAGTTCAAAAAATCATTATGATTTCGGTGAAATGGTATTTCAGTAAAATTGATTTCGGGGACCCGTAACCATTAATAATGGATTTATCTTTCTTTCCATTGTCGCTCTTATTAAGTTAGCCATTCAGATCATACTCACATCCTTTGATTATTCGGAATTTGACTTATCGTGATAAAAAAAAGGTTAACATCATTGAAAATCGCTAAAAAACAAAGGTTGTAATATGTACATACATATTCAAGTAATTAATATGCAGATACAAACCCGATATAGTAATTCTGCTAGCTAAAGCTATTGCCACGGTTTAAAGCTTAAACCGGTGGCCTGGCTGTGATTTGGTGATACTAAAAGCCCAAATGACCTGAAGCTACAAGAATATTGTGAGTCTCTTAGATGGTGGATTAAGGCTTAGAGATACAGATCTATTTAGCAAATTAAAGCTTAGAGATATAAATCAATCCCGGTGATTAATTACTTCTATTAACTGATAAACATTAGATAGAAGCAATAATTGTAGTAAATATTTGGCACAACCATTGTGAGGAGTATTTGGAACAATGATTATGGGCAATATTTGGTAGCTATCTAATGTGGGTTGTTAACATCCTGAATATTGATTGCTAAGAAGATAGGCCTAGGATTAAAGATAGCGTAGTAGCTCTTAGTAAAGTAAAAGGTATTTAAGATCTGAGTTTCCGCCTTAGTTAAGTTTTTTTAAATCATGCGTTCTAGACAATACCTCTAAAGATCTTTTGTCTTAGACTATTTGTCTTAGACAATTCGTCTTTAGACTGTTACAATGTCTTAGTTATAGTTTATAATAAGAACCAGATTTCCTCTCTTTTGTTGTATTGAGTTTATGTATCAGTTAGTAGTTTAGTTATTATTCTTATTATTGTTGTATTATTTCTTTATTATTGTTGTCTTGTATTTCTTATTGTATATAATAAACCCTTCCCAATAATTAAAGTTTGATCTGTTAAGTGATATTCCCGACTTAGCTTAAGTGTTTCGTGACATTATACTATATGTATAAGTGGTATAAACCCCAAACTATCAGAGCTAAATTGGATTAATATCTGCAATTGCTCTCCCAACTGATGGTAACACTATATATAAAAGTTACTAGAATCACTGGAAGCAACTAGAAGTTACTAGAACTTCCTTCCAGTAGACTAAAATTTCTCACTAAAAGGGTCCAGTGACAACTTACCACTAGAAGATATATTTTACTAATTCCTTCTAGTTAGTTCCAGTGATTTTTCAGTTCTAGTAATTTTCACTGGAACATTCCAGAAACCATCATTGGTATTATATATACAAATTACATTAGAGTTGCTACTTGGAATAAAGATATCTCTAAAGAGAAATTTTATATAGATATATTGTATATTTAGCTTTATAGCAAAAATAAAAATAAAAATATTAACTACATTTAATTTTTTGGTAATATATTTTTTTGTTATTTAACGATTTTCTTGATTTAAAGCATTATTATAGTTAAACTATTATTTTAGTATTAAAATACCAATAGAATCTATAGAAAAAATATAAAATAATATTAGAAAATTATATTTATAACACCATGTTATATAACACTGTATCATATAATAGCATTACTTATACAATATATATTACAGTATATAACTATATATTTATTTATATCTATATATATAATAAGTTATAGATATACTGCTTAATTAAAATTATATTTACTATACTAATTATTCGCATATCAGAGTATTTGTGCTATTAATCAATTATATAGTACTCTGATAGTGAAGTATTGAAGAAAATTAGTAAACACACCAAATATATAAGACTTTAAACTCATAATTCAGGCATCAATATACTACTTTATAACCAATCTGCAAAGATAAAGTTGGAACATATTTTGTTTTGGGTAATGCTGTTGAAACATTCTAGATTGGAATTGGAGTTAAATAGAATTGCAAGTGAAATTGTGTTTTAGTTTTACCATAGTATTAATCAGAATTTCTAAATAGCATACTTGAATTCACCAAATTATCATCAATTTTACTTGCAACTCGAATTAAAAAGAATGTGCAAAAGATATTCTATTAAAATAAATTTACTGCTAAAACATTCCATGTTGAATACTTACCAGAATAAAATTGGCTTTGAAAATAACAAATATGGCAGTACTGATAGAATACTTCAGATCAGATATCATTATTGGAGTAAAATTATAATTAACAAAGATGTGCATAGATATTTATTTGTTATCTAAAATCTGTATAATAGGTAGAACATTTGGTTTGTATATTGTTGTTGTAATAGATTTGGAGTTGAAAAAGATCATCCATTTGTTATTAAAAATTTGCAAGGATGGGTAATGCTATTGGAACATATAATGATAGACATGTGTTAAAAAGAATGAAATAGAGGTATTTATTTATTACAAATCTGCAAAGATAGATGATATTAACAAAACATTCTAGCTTGGATATTGTTATCAGAATGAATTTGAAGTTGAAAAGGATAAATATAAATATATAAAAATTTTGCTGCAATGGATAATGCTATTAGGATATATAATTTTGGATACTGTTATTGGAATAGAATTGGTGTTGAAAAGATAAAGCTATGGAATATTCCAGATTGAATTTTGTTATCTGAAAAGAATTGGAGTTAAAAAAAATAAACATAAATAAAGATATTTATTTAATATCAATGATCTTTAGAGATAGGTGATATGATTGAAATATATAATATTGTATATTGTTATTGGAATAAATTGGAGTTAAAAAGCTAACTATAAAGTATATCAATAATCTGTAGTGATGAGTAATGTTAATTTTGGATGATAAGTATATAGTAAAAATCTGCAGTGATGATTAAGTAACACTAATGGAATATTTTAGATCAGGAGTTGAAAAGAATAAACATAAGGTACATACTTATTATTAATAAGATTATTCGAAGTTAATTCTTCAGCTCCCTCTAGCTAAAGTTCCTTTTCAAAAATGAATAACCAATTAAAACACAGATAACTTCTACTATTTACTTGATCTATATCGACCAATGAAATTGGCTCATTGTTATATGAAGTCTTTGCCTTAAAAATATCCTTATAGTATCATATACTATCCCTTAAACTGTAGAGTTTGTGTAACAATTTTAACTTAAAAATAGCATAAATTTGGTTATGATTTATTTTTTTTTAATATTTAAAATATTTAAATAAAATTTTATATAATAATATTTGAAAATAAGGATTATCTTTTTATAGTA